AGACTTTACAAGAGGCTATGTAATTTATCATCCAGAATATCTTCTGTGAGATATGGGATAGGGGATGAGGGAAATAGAGTAGAGTGGTGTGTTATCTCCGCCCCAAGACTCGACTGATCATCCGGTTGCTTGATCACTTGAGGCCAGGGATGCGGCCCGCGACACATACCTATCCATATGTGTAGGCCTCAACTGCTTGGCGGGTGATGGAGGGTACTTCTGATGCCCAATTTTGCCCATGGGGATCTGCAAACGATGCTGAGTCCGGTACTGATGCTCCTCTGCAGGAATTAGCTATTGTGAGCTCCGTAGGAGCTGGAAGATAGAGCAGTGAAGCGGAGCGGGATTAGTGTGCGACTGCCATCTTCAGCCTCCACGCATGCATCTGTACCAAACTCTTTGATGTAGAAGGAGAGCTTGGACTCAGTAGGTAGGAGTCTGTTTCCAAAAAGTAGGCTTGTACTGCTTGAAGTAAACCTTGAGGAGGAACAAGAAAGAAGACAAAAACAGGAACATAAATCTGTAAACAGTGTCCCAGTATAATAAGAAGATCCCAACAGGAATCTGAATGCAGGTCAACTGCACAAGGCATCGGAAGGGCAATCAATGGGAAAAATAACTCCAATTTGCCAGGGCAAAAGATCGCATTGTGTCATGGTTGTAATAATGAAGTGCTTTTGAAGATGATTTCTTATTTTTATGCCTGTGCGTAACCACCTGCCAGTCACTTGAGACACCCAGTGTGGGGGGAAATGGTGGTGGTAAAGGATCCTTGTCTGGAACAATGTACAAGTCATGTAGAAGTTTGAGCCCCTCATCCACCCACTTCAATAGGGGAGTTTGTGATTGCGTAAGGCTTTGGTGATTGTAAGCAATAATTTCCACTTCTGCAGCATGTATTGTGAAACATCAGAGTAAATCTGTGGTGCAAAATTTTTCCTGGTAGTTATGGGGAATTGCAAATAGACTCAATGAACTTTTCCTTGACATAAAAAAGGGAAATAGGTAAGAGAATGTCTGTGGGAGTATGGTTAGGTAACGGAGATAGCCTTGGTGGTCTATGGATTCCGGCAATCAATAATTCTGACCCAGGGATAGAGGGCAAAAGTTGAGTGAATTAGCTCACAGGTATACTGATGTAATGGAGTTGGTTGCGTATACTCAGGAATTCCGCATATCTTAGTATTGTTTTGCCTTGATCTACCCTCAAAATCTGCCACTTTTGCCTTTAACCATGCTATTTCATCATACTTGTCATTGTGCGTATCCACCAATGTTTTATAAGAGGAAGCAAATTCCCCCATTTTGTGTTCTAGGTGGTCTACTCTACCCCCCCCCAGCTCTTTAACTTTTGTTTTGAAGTTTTGGACACAGGACAGCACATCAGACTGTAGAGAACTGCTTAGTGAGACAAGCATGTCCTTAATGTGGTGTCCAGTATAGGCTGATTACTGGTAGGGAATGAGCTATTAGGATCAATATGTTCTCTAGTTTCATTCATAGAGGTATTGTAAATGCTCAAATCTGTATGGCTGGAGCCTGTAGAGATCCCAAATTTAGAATTGACAGGGTTCCCTGAAAGCTGTGTGGAAACTGCTGGGGTTTCAAGCTGTGTCTCAGTCTGAGCGCTGACCGAGATTGAGAGGCTTTGAGAGGCAGAATGAGAGTGGCTGCCACCGCAATCTTAGAGAGGTGGATAGAGATGTGAACGTTTCCTCAGTTGAGGTGCTTACTTGAACTTGCCAATAACTCCCCTAGGTGGACCTGCACTTCGGGAATGTTATGAGGTGGCAGGTCAAGAAGATATGTACCTCTTTTGGGTGAATTGTCTAGCGGTGGAGCATAGCATCAAGATCACACGTCCATCCACTAGCGTAGTATCCACGCCCCCCAAAACATAATATTGCTTTGATCTCTATGCCCCAATGAAACCCATAGTGGCGTGGAATTGAGGTCTGTTTAGTACTTCTTTCAACAAATGCCTATGCTTAATTCAGCTAGCTAAGATTTGACATTGCTCTTTCTTTTCATTGTACCTGAGAACTAACCAAGTATCATGTAATTTTACTTGTAATACTTGCCTCTTAATGGTTTCATTTTATTATACCGTATGTTCAGTTTTGAAAATGTAATAAAAATAAAATAAAAAAGTACCTGTACCATTTTTGTTCAATCACAATTAGATATATAATCTCCAATTTTGGGTCCAAACCTATGTTCAGAGCAAATTTTGCTTGTATGAAGGTTCAGCAAACTGCTGAAATAAATGGGTGCTCAGTCAAGTAGAACCTCTGAATGCAGTGGAAAGTGAAAAAAAAAATGTGACAGCTGGCAGATCCCAGCATGCTAACAACCAGTGATGTATCTCTTCCCAGCCCTGTCAGCTGACAGTGAATGTGAACAAAGAGGGGGGTAAAAAAAAGGGTGTGGGGCCCCCTTCAAAAATTTTAATCAGGGATTCCACACACAAAAAATCAGGTTGGGTCCCTGCCAAATTCTATAACAGACCCTTTAGGTCTGGTGCGCAGTATAAGGTGGACTTTACATGCAAATCAAATGAGTGGGTTGCCCCCCCCCCCACTTTTGAAACCAGACAATATGCCCTCAAAATAGGAAGGGTACCTTGCTAGGTTAGGGTTGTGGGGGTCTGCAAGAAGTGATCAAACAAATAAACAAACAAAAATAAATAAAATAAATAAATACAATCTTGCGCGTTTCTATGGTTCATTGGTAAGCTTACTCCTAATAATAGTGAAACTTACTACAACATAAACAGTTAAATAGCCTATTTTGCATATAACCCTTATCCCACACAAGGTAAAAATCAATATATACAGTGACCAGTACAGCACTACAAAATAAATACAACCTAAATTCAAATTGGTTAATAAAGATATTAAATAAATATTTTAAATGAAATATTTTAAATAGAAAGTCCAACAATCTTCTTTATAGTGCTTCCATCCTTCTGCAATCACCAAGTGCTTCAAACATAAAAGTGCAATTCCACCACCAGATGTCTGCTCACCTCCAGCAGTGTGACCTCACATAGTGTTATGTTTGGTCTAACTGCACTTTTGGTCCCAAAATGGACACTGAAGATCAACTTGATGGATTTCAACTGTAGTTCCCACCTTGTTTGGAATACAACTCCCACCAACACTTCACCTCATAAACAAAAGACACCACAGTGCGTACACATTTTAATATAAAAAATAAATACAAATGCACACTCACATGTATGAGGTGCCCAACCGCACCAAGTATATAACGCCTCTGATATAATTTGCTCTACAATCTGGAGAAACTGTGCTGTGAGGAGTTAGTTCCATGTATCAGATCAAAATGAACCACAGGTGCCGTAAAGCTCACTAGCTTTAAATGGCAAAAATAATTATAAATTAAAATAATGAAAATTAAATAAAATGTAAAAAATTTTATTAAAAATATAAACTCATGGATTCAAAAGGATTCTCTTTTACTCAACTTTCTAATCTTATTTCACCCCTCAAGTTACGTTTATAGGACTTGATCCCCCAAAATTGCAAGCCAGAACGATCCTTATTATGTCAATAAAATAAGTGATATAAACTTCTGCGCCTACTAAGTGAGATAAATAGAGTGACTAATACTGTGAATGCTACTGCTATCATCAATTGTGTTCCCACAATGCAACTGAAATAAAATAAATTAAATAAAATGTGATGTAGTGCTGCTTGCAGAATATTAAATAAACATCAATCCTTCTTAGCTGAACAAAAAAAAGTGAATAAACTGGATACAAAGGGCTAATAACACCTAAATAAATGATAATACATTAATATAGGTATCATCAATTACTACACAATCAAAGTGAACTGAAATCAAAGTGCTACTTTAAAATGGCGTACCTCAAATGTCCACAACAAAATGGCGCTGGGGTCTATATATATGGTAGTTCAGCATCAGACAGTTCAATCACGTTCCCCTTGAGTCACGTGGCGAGTGATGAAAACCCATCAGGGAGGAGCTACGGCTGACGTCACAATGCAATACAGAGCCAGCAAATACTACGGCAGTAGTGCACACTGATCCACATATGATTATACAGTCAAGGAAAGAAGTATTTGATCCCCTGCTGATTTTGAATGTTTGCCCACTCACAAAGAAATGATCAGTCTAAAAATCAAATGGTAGGTGTATTGTAACACTGAGAGACAGAATAGCAAAAAAAATTCAAAAGAAATGCATGTCTAACAAAGTATGCACTGATTTGCATGAGAGAAATAAGTATTTGATCCCCTATCATTCAGCAGGATTTGTGGCTACCAGGTGTAATCAAACAATCAGATTCCAAACTCTCCACCATGGCAAAGTCTAAAGAGCTGTCTAAGGATGTCAGGGACAAGATTGTAGGCCTACACAAGGCTGGACTGGGCTACCAAACTATCGCCAAGCGACTTGGTGAGAAGGTGACAACAGTTGGTGCAATCATTTGCAAATGGAAGAAACACAAAACAACTGTCAGTCTCCCTAGGTTTGGTGCACCATGCAAGATCTCACCTCATGGAGTGTCAATGATCATGAGAAAACATTCAAAATCAGCAGGGGATCAAATAATAATTTTTTCCTTCACTGTACAGGAGGATACATTGCCATTTAACCTCCCTAGCGGTCTGATTATGTCCATATTTCTGTACTCAAAGCAGTACATTTTTTTTGCATGGAACTATGTAGTTTTTTTTATTGTAGGCCTGTAATTTTTAGGAATAACTCACTGAAATCTGTCCGAACAAGAGTCTAGTAAACATTCCGGGTATGTTAAAATTTGAAACACGAAATCATAAATTATAATTTAATAAATAATCATAAAAAATAATATAACAAATTTAATTCAATAATATAATCAAACCAAAAACACTGAAATTTGAAATAGAGCGCCAGTTCGCACATCACTGAGCAAAGTCGCAAAATCGTTTTCAATGTCTGATGACGAATTTCCCCACGAATCATTATCACTCAATTCTGCAAGTAGTTCTAATTTACTATCGCTGTTCTCTAGCTGGTCTAAAACTGCTTTTGACCTAAAGGGATGCTTTTTGGACGCTATGGACTTTTCTCACTTTCAAGGCAGAAAGAACAGTAAAAATGCAGGCAGGGCACAGGACAAAGCACTAGGAACAAAATGTATGTGAAATGGATGATACAGTAATGTAATTTTACTAAGTGAATTTAGTAAATGTCACTTTTACCATTTTCAAATTTCCCGCCAGTTCCGTCCCCGTATGACTTGACGTCGCAGGGAACAGAACCCAGAAGACAGATGCCGGCATCGGCTGGAGGACATTGCCGAGGACACTGCAGGGAAGACATCGCGGGAGCGCAGGACAAGGTAACTGCAGAAAAATCTCGACGCTGCAAGGTATTCCCGAGTGTAGCTCGGGGTTGCCGCTTGTGGTGCTGAAACTTTACCCCGAGCTACACTCGGGAATACCTCCAGGGAGGTTAAAGCCCATGAGCATTACAGCACCTGTGGTTCATTTTGATCTGATACATAGAAGAATGTTAATATAGGAGGGCACACTGCTGCAGTCTCAATACTACTGACTCCTCACGGCACAGTTTCTCCAGATTATGGAGCAATTTATATCAGAGGCAATATATACTTGGTGCAAATGGGCACCTTATACATGTGAATGTGCATTTGTATTTATTTTTGATATAAAAATGTTTTAAAGTTTACGCACTATGGGATCTACAGTTGAAATCCATCAAGTTGATCTTCAGTGTCCATTTTGGGACCAAAAGTGCAGGTAGACCAGTTTCTTCAGGGGTGCCTTGGCAAAATGTCTAAAAGTTGCACAAAACTTGTATACAAGCCAGTGGGTGGAAGAAGCCTGACTTTCAGTTACACAAAGCCACAAGTTTTCATTGTATGTTGTTACAAACTTCTAGCCACCGCTGTCCTGACAATCAATGACATCATCAGTTGATAAGATGTCAGTTGCCTGCAAAGCATCCTTGTTTGACCCTTCCCTGCCCCTCTCCATCAGTGCTGGGGTCACATTAGCTCAGTGATGGAGTAAACACTGTAATACTAGTCAGGACCAGTGTGAAAAAGTGTATTTGATTTGGAAGAATAAATCACCTCTAGCAATGGGTGTCCAAGTGTGGATGTTGCTGCATTATATAAAACTACTAGACACGTTTTTCACATTTTATAATGGGGTGCCTCGGGACTGTCCATAATGTTAAAAGGTGCCTCTAGACTTTACATAATTTTAAAGGGTGCCTTGAAATTGTCCATAATTTTAAAGGGTGCCTTGACTGAAAAAAGGTTGAGAGACACTTGATCAAACATAATACTATGTGAGGTCACAATGCTGGAGGTGAGCAGACCTCTGGAGGTGGAATTGTAGTTTTATGTTTGAAGCACTTGGTGATTGCAGGATGGAAGCACTATAAAGAAAATTGTTGGACTTTTTATTTAAAATATTTCATTTTAAATATTAATATCTTTATTAAGGTCACTGGTCACTGTATATATTTGTCTGCAAGAAGTGGTTCTATCTGGAAGCCCCCTTTAAGAATCAGGATCCCTCAGAAACTGGCCCCTCTATGTGAATCAGTAAGGAGTACACAGAAAAGATTCAATAACAGCCCCATAGCTTACAGCCAAATTTAAACAAAGGTGCGGGGTCTCAGGGGTGACACTAATGACCAAATATGGACATGATCAAATTAGGTCAGTTAAATCACAATGGCTATCATTGACCAAATATAGTCACCTCTATACATGGTCAATGTTGTTGCCAGGTATACTCTGCCCCTTTGTTTACATTAAGCTTTCAGCTAGTGAACTGACCAGTGAGTGATATGGTCAGGTGTTTTGCCAGTTTTTTTTTATTAATTTTGTGATGGGTCAATAGGCCTCATTCATTGTCACTGAGTAGAGGGTACTGTGTACCTCTTACTCATTCATAGAGGGGGAAAGAGGATCTTGGGGATCCCCTTATTTTTAAAATAGGCTTCAAGGGTCCAATAAGCCCTTTTGTCCACAAACCTCTACAAGCACTGAGACGGGGCTATGGGGAAACGACTATGTCCTCATCAACATGGAAACAAGGTGTTTGTTCAAGGAGGAGCCTCCTGGAAAGGATCTCTCCTCATGTTGAGGGCATGTGGCTTGGGCCAGAAGGGGGCCACACTCTCACCCCTCCCCCTCCCCCCACCCACCCACACACACCCTTTGCTGCCCATCTAGGCTGCATACTCAAATAAGGTTCTGCTGTAGATTTTGAGGGGGAATCCATGCCATTTTTGTTTTATGCATGGGATTCCACTTTTTTATTGATATACAAAATTTACATAGTGCCACCAGTTTATACAGTGCTTTACAAAATAAACTGGAATAGTATAATTACAATACAATTCAGTACAAGAGGGCCCTGCTTGTGAGTGATTACAATTGAAAGGAAGGATCAAGTGATACAAAAAGTAATAATTATAAAGAAATGAGCTGTTGGAGAAATTAAAGATATAGTTTAGTAGGTGGAGGTCAGATAGGTCTGCCAGAAGACGTTAGCTAGACACACTGAGGTAAGAAGTTCCAAAGTATGGGAGAGGATGATGAGAAATGCTTGAAGTGAGCATGGGAAGAGGTGATAAGAGAAATAGAAAGCAGGAGATCTTGGGAGGAGTGAAAATAAAGCTTTGGTTGATACTTTAAAATGAAGTTGGTGATGTAGCTCAGGGTAGAGTTTTGGATGGCTTTGTATTTTGTCGCTAGTATTTGAATTTTACTTGTTGGGTGAGCAGAAGTCAATGGAGGGATTGACAGAGAGGGGTAGTGCACCCTGAGAGTTTGGTAAGGTAAACGAGTCTGGCAGCAACATTCATGCTGGACTGAAGGGGAGATATCCTATGTAAAGGTAGACCAATGAGGAGGGAGTTGCAATTAGAAAAACAAATAACAGCTCCAAACCCGCTAGTCAAACAGGTATAGCAGGAGTTTTATACTAGTGGGTTGTCTCTAAAAGAAGGACAACACTCATATACATAAAATACTCTATAAACCATATTTATTAGTATCACTCCAACCTAACCAAACCAGTTGGGGATTTAGTAAAAACCGATGTAAAAAAGATGTGTTATAATAGAATGAAATGAACATGGCCTCTAATATTTACAATCCCATCAACAACATAAATACATTAAACATAAAACTTCTCCGAAACAAGGCCCACTGCATGAATATCATTCACATACAGTTCATATATACACTATGTCGCCAAAAGTATTAGGACACCCTTCCAAATCATTAGATTCAGGTATTCCAATCACCTCCATGGCCACAGGTGTATAAAATCAAGCACCTAGACATGCAGACTGCTTCTACAAACATTTGTGAATGAATGGGTCATTCTTAGGAGCTCAGTAAATTCAAGTGTGGTACTGTGATAGATTTATTGCACAGGTGGCAACCTATCAGTGAAATGTCCTTGCTACTAAATGATCCACTGTCAAAAGTCAGTGGTAATATAACAAAGTGGAAGAAACTGGGAACAACAGCAACTCAGCCACAAAGTGGTAGGCCATGTAAAATGACAGAGCGGGGTCAGCCCATGCTGAAGCACACAGTTTGCAGAAGTTTCCAACTGCCTGCAGAGTCAATAGCTAAATACCTCCAAACTTTGTGTGGCCTTCAGATTAGCATAACAGTGCGCAAAGAGCTTCATGGAATGGGTTTCCATGGCTGAGCAGCTGCATCCAAGCCCTACATCACCAAGTGCAATGCAAAGCATCGCATGCAGTGGTGTAAAGCACATCACCACTGGACTTTAGAACAGTGGTGATGTGTTCTCTGGAGTGACAAATCACACTTCTCTGTCTGGCTATCTGATGGACGTGTCTGGTTTTGGCAGTTGCCAGGAGAACAGTACTTGCCTGACTGCATTGTGCGAAGTGTAAATTTTGGTGGAAGGGGGGGATTATGGTGTGTGTGTTGTTTTTCAGGTGTTGCTTGGCCTATTAGCTCCAGTGAAGGGAAGTCTTAAGGCATCAGAATACGCCTTAATTGTGCAAATTGTGGACAATTTGGACAATTTCATGGGAAACTTTGTGGGAACAGTTTAGGGATGGCCCCTTCCTGTTCCATAAGGACTGCGCACAAAGCAAGGTCCATAAAGACATGGATGAGGGAGTTTGGGGTGAAGGAACTTGACTGGTCTGCACGGAGTCAAAACTTCAACCTGATAGAACACCTTTGGGATAAATTAGAGCACAGACTGCGAGCCAGGCCTTCTCGTCTGACATCAGTGTTTGACCTCACAAATTTGCTTATGGAAGAATGGTCAAACATTCCCATAGTAGACACACTCCTAAACCTTATAGACAGCCTTCCCAAAAGAGTTGAAGCTTTGCAACTTTGCAAAGGATACCCACTTGCAAAATGTTAATGTGCTTGCAAAGTAAATCAACCTACATTGCTGTACATTACATATTCCTGACCACCTCTGCGCATTTTAAGGTTTGCAATGTATACATATAGTAGACCAGCTATAGCCAACAGTGCTGATCATGCAGAAATTTTCCAACAGGGTGGTTTTACATAAGTTGATCGGTAGATGGACTTCTGTACAACCAGCTCCCTCATACATGGATTGAAATTTAGCAAGTCCCTGCAGATCCATCCCAATTTCAATCCATGTTCTTACGGCTTTAGGTTAATATTAACCATGCCCTTTTCACATATACCTACTCTTTTCCAAGAAAAGGGTTCTCTTATGTTTTCACCTTCAAATGTTGGAGGGTACTGGCAGGCTGTTCCCCCAAGTCAGTTTAAATGAAAATTTTTCATGCAGTACTGGAGTGTTCATTTAAAATAAACACATGTAAATACAGAGCTAATTTGTATTTTAAAACCAAAACTGAAAAAATACAGCATAGGTTCCTACAGGCCATATTTCACCATTGCTAATTAACATTATTCAAAGAAGATCTGTTGGTTGCTTTGTGCTGTGAGAACGATACTACAAACTATTGTAATATTCCCAATATTCTAAGCAGATCCCAGCATGTTGATTGATTAGAAGATGTTAGTGAGCAGCTATTACCTTGCAGACAATGGCCCACTGGTGTGAACAAAATACTGTTGCTATGGCAACTATTGCAATATTATTTTTTAATCCACATTCCAACTAGACTACATTATTAAATTCAGAATCATATTTCCATTCATTTTTAACTCTGAAAATGCTGAAAGATACTGAAAAGCACACATAAGAAATGAAAAACATACTTAATCATTTTTATTTATTTCCTACACCGTCCTTATTGCTTATATATCCTTTGATTCTGCTTAGCTTACTTGC